ACACATCCTTATGTCTAAAAGGAGACTAGGTACAAAATTTAGACTTTTAGTACATATGGTTTCATGATGAATTTATATACATTTATCATTGCCTCTCTAGAGAGGTTCTAAAGACTTTGACCTGCCAACTGGAAAAATAACAACTGATGAATATGCCAGCTGAAATAAGTGCACTGCTTGAAAAACCAAATGTGTAGATTGTTTTATAGATTTTGACATTAGCATTACTAGAGGATGATTTTTAACGTGTAATTAGTTAATAAGATGTTTACTTAACAATCAATATTTTCACATTTGTTGTATATTTTTAGCATAACACAGCTAATCCACACACATAAAATTTCTCCATGCACACAGTAAATGGTACTACATAAGTATTGTAAAGTACAATGTATACACAAAAGTAAACAAGGGTAACTACACAAGATACTGTATAAAGGGTAACTTTTGCCCTTCTCTCGTAAAAAGTTTTCTTCGCCCAGCATCAATTTCGCCCATCAAATTAATGACTATATATAATATGAGTAATTAATTTTCCCTTCCCTGTCAAGATAAATTCACTGTCATTATGAAGGGCAAAAAAGACGAAAGTTTAACTGTGGCGAAAATTTTGTGGTAATTAAACCATATTTTACCGGTGATAAGTCCCGGGGCCGCCTGTGCATGAAAACATGACAAAAGTAGGGGGTGGGCTTATTACTGGATATGAACCTGTGTTTTACTATGAGTCAGTGGCGCAGACTTACCAAATCGGAACTGGTAGTAGACCACATTATACAGTGTCCATGTTTTATAAGGGTCACTGTCTCACAGGGTTGCCAAAATTTGAAACTTAAAAGTCATAGTTTAACATCACCATTGAACAAATGTCAACAATTCACAGGTAATTTGAAGTCAAGTTTGAAAAAAAAGTAATTCAAAGTATAGTCAGCTCAAAATAAATAACAGGTTTACAAGTTTGGATAAGTAATATTAAAAGTTAAAAGTAATTTAAGAGACACAGGATCACTGGGTCGTTTAATTGTTACTTCTATTAGAAATGTTAACATAAACAGTCAAGTTTGAATGAGATGCAAATGTTCATTCAAAGCTACATAATAGATGAACATGACAATTACCAATATAATCCCTATTGATTGGAGGTAGTACCTGTATTTAACCTAATAAGCGCACAGTCCCCTATAAGTCCACCTCCTCCTTTTTTCTTGGAAAGAGGATGGGTGCTTTTAACTAAAACCTGTAAAAAGGTTGCTTACTTAATTCACTGATCTATCAATATATTATCTTTAGTCGTTTGACCAAAGGGTTTGTACCCGTTAACGTTTACATTACTGAGCAATGTAAGACAGCAGTCTAACGTTAGTTTCTGATTCAAGATTAAACAATTATTTGATTTGTCCTTTTTGCACAAATGCTTGGGAGGTTGGTTTGAACATATACAGACTTGGTCAGCTTCTCTAAGTTTGAGCATGAAAGGGATTTATCAAGTGCATATTGCACTTGTCTTGTGTTTTTATAAGCACACAGTATGTACGCTTATTAGGTCAAATTAGGTATTTGATTGGCAATATGTCGCTGATCATGAAATCAAATATCATGTAAATATTGTAATTAGAGGCTTTATGTTAAAATAAAGTTGATTTGATATTTGGTGATTGATATGAAATACTTTCAAAGCATAATTTCTCAAATTTTCCAATCTCCAACATTTTGCTACACGTATGTGTGGTTTAGTAAAGGAAGATGAATCCTGCATACATACAGCTGTGACACGTATAACTAACAGTCTGCTAGCCTGGCAGATATTTTATGACCTCTTGACATTCATTTAATTACTTCATCAGAATGTTAAATACACACTTAGGAAAACACTGAGTACCTGGGGAATTTAGACCAAAAGGAACCTGAAAGAGATGCTTCAGAACTTAATTTGTTTCAATGATGAAGGAATTAGTGATGCTGAGTCTTACACGTAGAGGTTTATGTACATACATAGCCTGCAACCTAGATTGTGTGGTGACATAGTTAATAGCCAGTGACTCCACAGTGCAAGTTTTCCCGGGTTGCCAATTTGATTCTAGAGAATGTGTTTCCAGGAAAATGTTAAAAAAAAACCCGGCTTGATAAGTAATGAAGTAATATCTGCATTGGGTTTGAAGTCTGAGTAGGAATCAATACACGTAGTTGTAACCTGTCATTTCCTGGTGATGCTGATTTCAATAATCCATGAAATGTGTTAATTGGAACATCAACCTTGAACTGTAGTCATTGATTCTAGGTTCTCCTCTTTAATTAGAACCATAAATCAATTCTGTTTTTGTTTCATGTTTGTCTGGCCAGTAATAAGGTTATAGAATCAAATCATTTACAATTACGGACATAATGACAATTACGTTTTATTTCATTGGTTTTAACCATATTTGATCTGAGTAATTGAAATTTATTGCTCAGCATCATTTGTATAAATGCTGTTTGTGTAGAAAACAATCTGCAGATCAATAGCAGAATTTAAGCGTTGGACTGATTTTAAATTTATTCAAATTAAGCATTCAAATTATTGTAATGGAAATGTGTTCTGAAGCGTGATAGAGTAGCCAATATTTGAAACAGAAATATTTGGGTCGTCAGAATCTGGATTTAAATCAGGTTTGACTGTAAAAGGCCATTGAAAAGAACATCGTTTTAGAGTTTTGGCCTAAAGATATGTGTAGGTATATGATTAAAGATATTTTGGTAAAGATTTGATTTAATAAACAGTATCCCCTTTATATAACATATGAGACAGTGTTCAAATTGAATTGATGGGTCCACAAAATATGATATGTTATTGTCCAGATGTCCAGATGTAAGAAAAATGTAACAGCTCCCGCAGATTTGGGCAACATTGAAGTTATTAGAATTTTGGTTAACAGCCTAGTCAAGTTTGCTACTCCATAATTATACGATCAATTTAACAAATTTTTCAAACATCTTACAATCATAACCCGTGTATGTGTAACTGATGTGTTGTTTCACATCCCCTTTATTAAGCGTTATAGCCCTTGATTTACAAAGGTTTGTCCAGTATACTTCTTCTTACGACTGTCAGATGTATTTCAACTTAATTTTGTAAACAACTTAACTATTATATGAACATATGTATGTGGAGCTGCGAGGTTATTGCAGCTGCTTTTTAAAGAGTTATGGCCCTTTATTTATAAATTATTGTTCAATCTACTACTTTTCAACAAAAAGATGGATTTCAACTAAAATTTGCAAACAGGTTCAACCTCGAGCTCTTAAGAGTTGTGACCCCTGATTTGAAAAGCCCTGCCCAGTCTACCTCTACTAGAGGAAGAGGTGGAGTTGTGACCCCTGATTTGAAAAGCCCTGCCCAGTCTACCTCTACTAGAGGAAGAGGTGAATTTTTTACAATCAACTTGTTCATCAGAAGATCTTGTGCATGTGTATATACCTTTCTAAACAGATTTGGGTGGTCGGGTGGTGCAGTGGATAGCGCACTTGCCTTTCACCAAGGTGGCCGGGGTTTGATTCCCCAATCTGACGTGAAAAGGTTGGAGTCACCTGCCCGACCCCGTGGGTTTTCTCCGGGTACTCCTGTTTCCTCCCACACTAAGACCCCAACGTGCTTACATCCGGGCCAGCAAGGAGTGCTTAATATAAGTTGAAATAACTTGTTTCATAATTGTTGTAAAATAAATAAAGTTTATATTTTAAAGAGATTTGACTCCTTATTGTCTTACATAAATGAAAGGGGCTGCAGTGGCGGAGTTGTTAAGATGTCTGACTGACATCAATGATCACTATCGCCTTCCACTGGGTCGTGGGTCAGCCCTCCACCACTGGGTGGTGGGTCAGCCTTCTTCCACTGTGTCATGGGTCAGCCTTCCTCCACTGGGTGGTGGGTCACCCCTCCTCCACTGGGTGGTGGGTCAGCCTTCTTCCACTGGGTCATGGGTCAGCCTTCCACCACTGGGTGGTGGGTCAGCCCTCCGCCACTGGGTCGTGGGTCAGCCTTCCACCACTGGGTGGTGGGTCAGCCCTCCTCCACTGGGTCGTGGGTCAGCCGTCCATCACTGGGTGGTGGGTCAGCCCTCCTCCACTGGGTAGTGGGTCAAGTTGTAAAACACAAAAATAAATAAAGTTTATGTTTTAAAGAGATTTGACTCCTTATTATCTTACATAAATGAAAGGGGCTGCAGTGGCAGCCCTCCTCCACACGGTAGTGGGTCAGCCCTCCACCACTGGGTCGTGGGTCAGCCCTCCACCACTGGGTGGTGGGTCAGCCCTCCTCCACTGGGTCATGGGTCAGCCCTCCACCACTTGGTGGTGGATCTGCAGCCCTCCTCCACTGGGTTGTGGGTCAGCCCTCCTCCACTGGGTGGTGTGTCAGCCCTCCGCCACTTGGTGGTGGGTCAGCCCTTCTCCACTGGGTCGTGGGTCAGCCCTCCACCACTGGGTCGTGGGTCAGCCCTCCACCACTGGGTCGTGGGTCAAGATGTAAAACACAAACAAACCCAGCCAATCTTTACATAAATGTATGACCATTGTCTTTGTCATAGTCACATCACTGTGTTATAGATGTGATAATAAGTTTATATATGAGGGTAATGTACGCGTTTCAAACATATATACATAGCTAGGGCTGGTTTTACAGTTGACCCTCAAATAGAAATACAATAAATTGTATTTAATTAGTGTCGTTTATTTATGGTTACTGGTGTCAATAAATCATTGCTGCAATAAGACCAAATGAATGGCCTCATTAATTAAATTGAAATAGAGAGAATCAATGCATTGTAAGTGGCAACTATTACCACTAAATTGTATTAGGGTATGGGGGGCATGAAGGGGGATTCCCGTGAGTCTGTCAACAACAGTGCTTTAATTTGATATTTTGATTTAATTTATACCATTATTAGATCATATTAAAATTTCCATTGATTAAGATTATATTAATTAACCTTAACATTGATCTGATTGTTGTTTTGATCCCACAGACCCTGTGACCGGAGCAGAGAAGATTTGGACATCATCTATTCTCGACTGAAAAATGTCAAAGCTTTTGATAAGTTCCACCCTTCACTTCTGCAGCAGATCTGTTACTATGGTTACTACGAGGATTTGGAGAAAGGGATTACATGTAAGCGTCATTGTTAGGTTTGTCAGGAGGCGAGGTTTATCTGTTAATGTTTGGTTATCAATCTTTGAAATTGCACAAGTTTTAAAATATAATACGTATCTTCAATTGAACGAACCGAGATAAAAAGGTTCCTACATTTCTTTTGGTTATTTTTTTTCTTGAGACTAACGAAATGAAATGGTTTATTTAAAGCAGAAAATTGTGTTTCTATATAATTGTCCAAGTTGACCAAACTTGTGTGTGTCATGTTGTACCATTGGCTAATGTGATTACTGGGAGAATCAAAAGTAAGGTTTCCCAGTAACTTGCTGATAGTATCCCCGACCCCTCCCCACAGGAGACCAGCAGGAGTGTTCTCATACCTATTTATGGGGATCGATGTTCTATAAAAATCGTACTGTTAGAATTAAAGCCATTAACAACCTTTGTAAACCTGATGGAGGTCACCATTTATTTTTTATACCTTTGTCAGCTACGTGTCTAGATAGATCTTCATACATGTAGTATATATATTAATTGACTTTAATAAGGCAGTAAGTATAGATATTAATAATCCCTATACCATAAATAGACGTCTATATGGCACTGGTACATGTACAGATCTTCATAGTCCATTTAGACACTAATAGGGCACTTGCATAGATTTTAATAGTTCCTATAAATAAACTTTCATTGATCACTTGTAACAAAGATCCTAATAATTCATATAAATTACTTAAATAGGGAACCTGTGTATTTATTCATATTTATTACATGTTTACCAGTGAAATATCAAAAATTATCAGTGTGATATTTTAATTGAAGATATATGAAATGTCATATCTACACATGTGATGATATAAGGTCTAGTATTGATTTATATTGACCAATCAAAATATTTATTCTATTTTCTGCTGCAGATTTTCTGTTCAGCTAACATATGAAGTAACAGTAGAGTAAGTTTTTGTTTTTAGCTCACCTGCCAGAAGGGCAAGTGAGCTTATGTCATGGTGCGGCGTCCGTCGTCCGTCCGTCGTCTGTGTCCGTCCGTCCAGCGTCTGGCATCCATCGGCGTCCGTCAACTTTTCCTTTTAACGACTTCTTCTGAAGTATGGACAGGCCTAGAGTTATGATATTTGGGTGATAGCTTCGTTGGTTGGAGCCTGATAAAGTTTGAGGATGAAATTGACCTTGACTAACTTTCAAGGTCACAGCAGTCAAATACGTAAAAACTCTTTAAACAACTTCTTCTGAGGAACTAAAAGGTATAGAATATTTATATTTGGCTGTTGGCTTCCTGAGATAGATCCCGACAAAGTTTGAGAATGAAAATGACCTTGACCTTCTTTCAAGGTCACAGGTGTCAAATATGTCAAAAACATCAAACGGCTTCTCCTGAATAATCGAAAGTATAAAATTATAATAGTTGGCTGGTGGCTTCCTAGGATAGAGCTCACCAAAGTTTGCGAATGAAAATGACCTCAACCTACCTTAAAGGACAGAGATCAACAGCATTTTAAAGGATTTGTTTTTAAGAACCTAATGGAATGGATTCATAAGATTTGGCTGATGGCTTCCTGGGATGGAGCCCAACAAAGTTTGATAATGAAAATGACCTTGACATACTTTCAAGGTCACAGCGGTCAAATATGTCAAACGCTTCAAACGACCTCTCCTGATGAACTAAAAGGTATAGAATCTTCATATTTGGCTGGTGGGTTCCTGGGATGGAGCCCAACATATTTTGGAAATGACCTTGACATATTTTCAAGGTCACAGCGGTCAAATATGTAAAACACTTCAAACAACTTCATCTGAAAAAATAGAAAAACTAAAAGGTATAAAACCTTCATATTTGGCTGATGGCTTCCTGGGATGGAGCCCAACATATTTTGGAAATGACCTTGACATATTTTCAAGGTCACAGCGGTCAAATATGTCAAATGCTTCAAACGACTTCTTCCTAAGAATTAAAAGGTATATACTCTTCATATTTCACTTTTGGCTTCCTTGGATGGAGCCCGATAAAGTTTGATAATGAAATTGACATTGACTTACTTTCAAGGTCACAGCGGTCAAATATGTAAAAACTCTTTAAAAAACTTCTTCTGAAGAACTAAAAGGTATAGAATCTTTATACTTGGCTGTTGGCTTCCTGAGATAGATCCCAACAAAGTTTGAGAATGAAAATGACCTTGACCTTCTTTCAAGGTCATAGCGGTCAAATATGTCGGACACTTCAAACAACTTGCTGTGAAAAACTAAAACGTATAAAAACTTCATATTTGGCTGATGGCTTCCTGGGATGGAGCCTAACATATTTTGAAAATGACCTTGACATATTTTCAAGGTCACAGCGGTCAAATATGTCAGACACTTCAAACGACTTCTTCTGAAGAAATTTACTGGCCAACTGTATCTTTTAAACAAAAACGACATCTGGCTCTTACTTCTACCTTCTGTTGTAGGCCATTTTGATACTTTTATACATTTGTGCATGTAGATAGCCTTTGTAGATATTTTATTGAATTGCATTGAATTGTTGGAAAAATCTATTGTTTTTTGTGGACAACATTTATTGTTCTATTTCTTTGGGTCAACATTTGAACTTTTACAGACCATAAACAGATGTATTGTTAGATCAGTGGTTTGGACCGTGATAGACATGTGTATTAGTTGTGGCACAAGGACCTGTAGATGTAGGCTATTCATAATGCAGCATTTTTGTTATTGATTTTTAGTTTCTCGTCTTTTATATGATTGTGTAACTCCTGACTGAATGGATCTGCCAGAGCTTTCGACTGTCTTTTGTTACTCAAAGAAATTTCTTGCGATTGTCTACGAAAGATTTAGAACTTACTTTACGACACACCCATAAAGCTGTAATCTGACAGTATATCAAGGTTCCTATTAAGAGTAAAATTAAAAGGGAAAAATTAGAAATGAAGATAATGTATTGTTTATTAGTCCCCCACTCAGGTATGACTGGAGGGGACTAAATGTATTGTATTCCATTAAGTGTAATTTTCCAGTTGTGTTTAGCGTAGAACTGATCTATTAGAAGGAACAGCACATTCCAAATAATGCTTCTGTACATGTAAACTGATAATCTATAAGGAAAAAGGAATAATTTTTCCGGAATAAACCTGAATGGCTTTGGCATTAGATAAAATAGGAAACAATGCTGATTACCTCCATAATTTACAAGTTTTACATGTGACATTACTTGGAGTATTTAATGGTATTTGAGACCAATTAGATACTGTTTAACTTCTAATATGTAGACCAATATACAATTTGGTGAAAATCTGAAGTGAAAACTTTTCACTGGTTGTCTAATACTGAATCTAACATCAAACTTGGTACCCTCAAATGAGACATTTCTCACAAACCAGTCTGTTTCAGTGGATCATCACATTCCATTGAGTGGATTGAACATTGCCTGGTTCATATCTACACTACTGGAATGTTCAGATATTTGGAAAACACTATTGGTTTGTAATCTGTCCTTCCAACCGTGCATCACTCTCACACAGTCCAGGGTGTGTCTCGTATAAAAAAAATGATAAACAGAGTTATGGCCCTTTTTTATTACGTCTCGCCTTTGAATGAAGGGACAACTATTGCAGTAATATTGGTTCTTCTGGTTCAGGTTCCTATAATATGATCCTGTCTGGGCTGTAGCGTTTAAACCATTAAAGATGTCTTCATGAATATTGAAGTATACCTGCATAAACCTTAGATGATGTGCAGTGCACTGCCATTAGCTATAGGTCACTGTGGCCTTTTCCTCAAGGTCAAAGGTAAAAAAAATCTGATCGTTCAAACATTTAAAGGTGTATGCCAAGGTGATGCCAATTCCCGTCCCTTTCTGTGTCAACCTTTGCTAAAACTTAGGATGCAATTATATCAGATGGCATTGTAAACTCTATTCAAGCATCATTGCGACTTTGGGGTCAGTTTTGAGGACACCTGTAATGGTTCCCACTACAATTAGTTCATATATATATTTTATTATTAGCAGTAGGCACTATAATAGTAGTAGGTAATTCCTCTAACACTACGGTCAAATAAGTGCTATATGTTAGAGATATCCTGATAAAACTTGCAGTATATCTGCATCACCCACTAATGATGTACAGTGCACTGTCGTTAGGTGACTGTGACCTTGACCTCAAGGTCAAAGATCAAATAGGTGCACATAGCATTTTTCGGGAATATCTTGTCCAGGCTGCAGCTTTTAAACAGTTAAAGGGGAGACATATGTTTTTGTTCACAAAAAACAAATCTCTACTTTTTTGAAACCTGCAGTTTACCAGGATTTCTGATATTCTGAGAACAACATTTTGTTTAAAACACTGTGTATCAGCCATTGCATCAGTATGTAGTGTAAGTAGTGGAAATACTGAAGTATATTTCGAGACCCAACATGCTGTTTATTACATTGAACCCTGGCCAATTTCAGACAATATTTTTTGTCTTATATATAGTGCTAATTATAGTACAGAGATAAGAGTGTGAAAATGACTGTCATTTTGGATATTGGCCCATGAAATCTGAACTAGAGACATTAAGCAGAGAACATTACCTGGTACATATGTATATCCATTGTGGTAATTGGTAGATTTTCAAAGCAAATTCGAGCGTAATTTGTCACTGGTCCTTAGTGATAATGATATAAGGTATCAATGACAGTGGTTTTTAATATAAACAGGTGATAATCCAGTGAGGTGTTGTCGCCAATTTCTCACCCAATTAACCACGTTATACACAGGAAATTATACCGTTAGCAGAAATAATCATGAAACAGAATTAGTGGGCGCAATCGTTATCGATGGCTTATGACCTTATTGTGTTACTGAAGCAACTTTACATAGAATATGGGATGTCGTTTGTATGTGTCTCCATTTTATATCATGCTTATGAAAAAGATATGGCAGTTAAGTGATCAGTCTAGCAGTTAAGTGATCGCAGTCTAATGCATTGATAGCAAAGAGTTTTGCCACATTTTACTGACAATTCTGGCATTTTTATGATTCTGTTTTCAATGTGAACATTAATAAGACTTGTAGGCGATGAGACTATTTCTTTATCAAGTTTATTTTTGGTATGTCTTTGTATTGACATTGGCGTTTCCAAGAGAAATGTGATCTGGGATGTCTGTCTGTGCCTTGCTTATGTAGTGTCTGATGATGGTACATTGGTATTAAGTTCTTTTGAGCTCTATAATAGCATTCCCCATTAAATCACATTGCTTCAAACCTGGCTGAACTTCCATAGGGCCTCTACAACAATCAATAAATAGCACTTTAGATGAGCATGATAATGTCTTGGGGTTACTTCCCTTTGTCCAGGAAGCAAAGGAGATTTTTCATGGGCGAGAAACTGCATAGCAGAATCTGTGAAAATAATACTTCTGATGACATCTATTGAACAGAATGATAATGTCATTTGCTATAAATTAAGCTGTCCTATGATAATTATGAATTAACTGAATATGACCAACAGTTAAGAATTCAATCTGGCTAATATATATGGATATTTCCAGGAGTGTGTGACAATCTACAGGACAGGTGTTAGTTTAATACATACAGATTCACGAAGCTTTTTGTTATAATAATTGTAAACTTACGGAAAGTCAAATTTTTACAAATGAACGATATTATGTAGACATGTATATAATGAGTAATATTTTTTGTTTTCTGTTGGTCAGTGTTCAGACAGGGAGATGTTGGCACCAACTGGTATACTGTTCTCGCAGGCTGTCTGGAGGTACAGGTGTCTGAGACAGCCAACATCAAGGTAAGGTACACCTGTGTATTAGGGTCTCAGTAAATTAAGGCCACAATTCTTGTTTGAGAAAGTTAGGTCACACCTGGTGTCCGAGTAAAGTAATGTTACACCTGGTGTCTCAGTAAAGTAGGTCACACCTGGTGTCTTAGTAAAGTAGGCAACACCTGGTGTCTTAGTAAAGAAGGTCACACCTGGTGTCTTAGTAAAGTAGGTCACACCTGGTGTCACAAAGTCAGCAAAGTAAGGTTACACCTGGGTCCATATTCATGAAACAGTTCTCATGATCAAGCATGCATTTTGGGCTTAAATAACTTTCTTGTATCTTGCTTAAATCATTTCAAACAATCAAAAAGTCAAATGTAAACATTGAATACAGTATTTGGTTTTAAGTGTCTTCAATTGTTTTTCCAAATCATGGACAAAATAAGATTAGTTAATCAATTTACAGCCAGAGCAAAAATTAGTCGAGCAAAAGTTTCATGAATATGGGCCCTGGTGTCTGAGTAAAGAAATGTCAAGCCTGGTTTCTCCTAAACAAAAGTCACACCTGGTATTTTAGTAAAGTAGGTCATACCTGGTGTCTTAGTAAAGTAGGTCACACCTGGTGTCTCAGTTAAGTAGGCCACACCTGGTGTCTAGGTAAAGTAGGCCACACCTGGTGTCTCAGTAAAGTAGGTCACAGCTGGTGTTTTAGTAAAGTAGGCCACACCTGGTGTCTTAGTAAAGTAGGCCACACCTGGTGTCTCAGTAAAGTAAGGTTGCACCTGGTGTCTTAGTAAAGTAGGTCACACCTGGTGTCTTAGTAAAGTAGGAAATAAGGAAATATTATACTATTTGTCATAAGAAAAGGTCACACCTGGTGTTCCATTGAAGTGAGGTTAGAGGTGGTTTGGTTGATAGCTAGGCAGCTTACATCAATACCATGCAATATACAGAGCAATATCTAGTTTCAAAACCAGATTTTCTTTTTAATTCTGGATTGCATTGAATGTCAACCACCAAATTACATACTTATTTTAAACATGCTGAAGATGATTTCATAAAATTTTCAACATTTATTATAACTAAAGAGTCAAATAACAGTCAAAAGAAAAAAAGAAAGATTTTTCATTATATTTGTATAATAATAAATCCAGTTATTTCCCTTTGTCTATAAGATGAACTCTTTATTGCCCATTAGGATGCGGTGGTGATATGTACCCTGGGTATGGGGACATCATTTGGCGAGTCCATACTACACAGTAAACCTCACCAAGCCACCGTCAAAACAAGGGAGTTTACCGAGCTCATTCGTGTGGAACAACGGGACTTCAAAATACTCTGGGAGGTAGGTTAACAAGTTTGTAAAAACTCAGAGAATGTATATATCAAGGAAAGGCTGCATAATGAACCCTTCAAAAGATCATGTATATTATATCAGGTATATATGTAGATTGAAATTGTCTTAAAATGCTTCTTACCATAAAAATTGTACACCAAATGCATGTGTAAAAATATGTGATACATCAATCATTGTCTGTGAAGGAAAAGAATGTGTTTGTGGTTAATTTTAATGTAAATGCTCAATTGTTCTGACATTATTGATTGAAGTTTAAGTGGTTTAACATGGGTCAGACAAAACTGCAGAAATTGATAGAAAAAAGAAAGAATAATATACACATAGTTATAATGAAGTGGAAATCAGACTGATATACGTTGGTATGGAGAATAGTAACTGAGCATTATAGTAATGGTGTCATCACATATTATCTTTGTACTAAATTGTCAATGTGCACGTTCATCATGTTATTACATTAAGATTAAAACAAATGATTTCAGAGGAACAAGAAGTTACTTGAAGGTGTTCTGACATCACTTGGTTCCCTGACAGCACAGGGTATGTATAAATATAGACCCATTAAAGGGATTGTTACAAAACAGGAACTTTTTGTTTGTTTGATATGTTCTAGGGGAGATAACTGCTCTTTCTTATTTCCTATAAAGCAATTCTGTGGGAAATAACCTAATCCTTATGATTTCCCTGCAAGTAATAAAGTCTATGGGATATAACCTCTCCTTCTGATTCCTCATTAAACAGTTCTATGGGAGATAAATCAGGTTTTCCCTATTTCCCATAAAGTTAGTCTAGAGGAGATTATCAGGTTTTCCATATTGCCAATCAAAGATTTTCAGGTTTTCCATATTGCCAATCAAGAATGTCTAGGGGAGATAATTGTCCTGATTTCTCATTAAGTTCTATGGGGAATAATCAGGTTTTCTCTATTGCCAATCAAGTAGGTCTAGGGGAGATAGTCAGCATTCTATTTTGCCAATCAAGTAGGTCTAGGGGAAATAGTCAGCATTCCCTATTGCCAATCAAGTAGGTCTAGGGGAAATAGTCAGCATTCTATATTGCCAATCAAGTAGGTCTAGGGGAGATAGTCAGCATTCCCTATTGCCAATCAAGTAGGGCCAGGGGAAATAGTCAGCATTCCCTATTGCCAATCAAGTAAGGCCAGGGGAAATAGTCAGCATTCCCTATTGCCAATCCAGTAGGTCTAGGGGAGATAATCAGGTTTTCACTATTGCCAATCAAGTAGGTCTAGGGGAGGTAGGTAATTGTCCTGATTTCTCATTAAGTTCTATAGGAGATAGTCAGCATTCCCTATTGTCAATCACGTAGGTCTAGGGGAGATAATCACGTTTTCCCTATTGCCAATCAAGTAGGTCTAGGGGAGATAGTCAGCATTCTATATTGCCAATCAAGTAGGTCTAGGGGAAATAGTCAGCATTCTATATTGCCAATCAAGTAGGTCTAGGGGAGATAGTCAGCATTCCCTTTTGCCAATCAAGTAGGTCTAGGGGAAATAGTCAGCATTCCCTATTCCAAATCAAGTAGGTCTAGGGGAAATAGTCAGCATTCCCTATTGCCAATCAAGTAGGTCTAGGGGAGATAGTCAGCTTTTTATATTGCCAATCAAGTTGGTCTAGGGGAAGATAATCAGGTTTTCACTATTGCCAATCAAGTAGGTCTAGGGGAGGTAGGTAATTGTCCTGATTTCTCATTAAGTTCTATAGGAGATAGTCAGCATTCTATATTGCTAATCAAGTAGGTCAAGGGGAGATAATGAAATAATCCATATTTTCCATTAAGTCAGTTCTATGAGAGATAACCTGTCCTGATTTCCTATGTCATATAAAATTGTGCTCTCTCTGCTTCTTATAATCTGTTTAGAAAAATGCAAGGTACTAAGTCTTTTTCAATTTTGTTATGATAGTTTGTGTCTTTAGGTATATAATACAAGTCTCGGATAACATATCAACTGTTGTTACAGGAGGTACCCAATCTCGGTTTGACCAGACATCCAAGTTACGGCGAGGCAGTCAGGCTCACAATACGGTAGAGGATGTAGCACCGAATCCTGCAGCACCGATCTCCATGGTAACTAAACATTGTCTGATGTATGCAGATTGTAAACCCAAATACTATCATATCACAATTTTCCAATGCATGCAAGATGCAACCCTGTCCCGCCATCTCCATACTAACTATATACCTTGCTTTGTCGTATGTTTACATATGTCAGATTTACATTTAATTATACTCTGCGAATAAGATACTAGGCTAAGGGTGGCTTGGGCATTATCTTCTTTGGTGTCTGTTTATATAAGGATATTATATTCATGGAAATTATATTTCGGGGAATTAATATTTGCTGGGAATTTGAAATTTTTGGTGACCGCGAATACAGCAAAATTAAATCCTGCACGAATATAACCAACTATCCAGTAATATTTGCATTTGGGATGTGGTAAGCTTGTGACTTACAGTTCTAGCTGATGCTGGATATTACAAAGACTTATAACACCTTTCTTACCCTTTCAGATCCCCTCTGTGAAGCTGTCACGGGCTGGCCATGTATTACGTACAATACTGATGTGTCGAGCTGCTCACATGATCAGAGACAGGAAGTACCACTTACGAACCTACCGTAGATGCATGGTGGGAAGTGAGATGGTGGACTGGTTGTTACAGCAGGGTCCTTTGGTTCACTCGCGGAACCAGTCAGTGGGGATGTGGCAAGTTCTTCTGGAGGACGGCATTATTGTACATGGTGAGTAATAAACACTTTGGCTGGAAACAGCAACGTTTTCTCTGTTTTCTAGCAGGCTCAAGTTACGGGCCAATCAATGGTAAATGTGGCAAGATATCCTCAGCTACTCAACTTTCCCTTGTGAAGTGATGTATATGTTTTGATTACCTGAAGATGAAATTGCTTGTTCCCTATGGTATTACAATAGTGGAACATATGATCACACCTGGTCCATTTGTCATATCATCTATCTGTTCTATCACATTTTGTGTGGCCATATGGCCATTGTGTATGCTAAATTTAGGTCGCTGTGTTCGTTGTTTTGACCTTTGACTTTTGAAAGTAAAGGTCTTTGACCATGCCACAATGGCATTTCTCCAGTGAACTATTACACCTAGAACTATCAGATTTGGTATGCAAGTACATTTGGAGTGTTACTTTGACCTATATCTGGACCGCTAACATCTAATGAAAATATTTATCTGGAGTGTTTTAGTTACATACTATAACTTTATAGAGCACCGGACCTGCTACAATAAAATTATCTTGGGATAGCAGATACTATGACCTTCATTTGATGTTTGACCTCTATCATCATAAGTTCAGATTTTTCTGGATCATAACTTCTATACCTCAATACCTAGAGGTACCAAATCTTGGAATGGCAAGATGTCTTTTACTGAAGTAGGTCACTGAGACCTATTTTTTTTATCTTTTCGTGTTGGTCAGTTCACCATGAGAACAGCTAGATGACAGTGAAGGTGGGAAGTCAAATTTAAAAGATATTTGCACTTTTTATTTGCTTTGTTTTACACTATAGAGGCATTGACTTGATTTGTTTTGTTTATGAAAATTAGGTCAGAGATAAAACTACATGTCACTGTGACCCAATTACATTTTTGGAAAGTTGCTCGATACAATTGAAAAAATCACTGACTATTTTCAAGCAGGACCTTATAAATTCCAAGTGTCTGTATCATGGAGGAAACCTCCAAACTTTGCCCAAGTTTGACTTTTTGAAAACCTGCAAAATTTCCTACATCTTGCTTTTTACACCCTTTGCAACAAAGTTAGGTTGGAGGGGGGAGGTAAACGGGAACCAGGCTGTCTATCCATTGAGTGCCGGTGAGTTTATGCCATGTTGCATTGTGTGTCCACCAACATTTTATATTAAAGATCCCCACACTCCTGGCAAAAATTGTAACTAAGTACGGTATAACATGAAGTGTTCGTTGTGTATAAACTTCTATTGTTTTTGTGGTCGCTATTGCAACCATGAATATAATACAACAAATATTTCTACAACTCGAAAGAATATATATACAAAACAAAAATGTGAAAATTATATGAACTTTATTTGAATAAAAAATATGCACTCAAAAGTATATACATTGCACATGTATAATTATGATCACGATACAACTGCAAAGAAACGTATGCAAAGGAAATTATTGCTGAAAATGTTGAAAATTCTACTGATGTATAAACGAAATGAACTCTTCCACATCCAAGGAAAGTGTCATATTAGAATCCAGGATTAAACACAAATCGATCAGTAATCACAAAACCACGAAAGATTGTACCCACAACATTATAGGAAAGCTCCAAACCAATTAAGAAAGAAGTACAAACAAACGTTTCATGTTATACAGTATTGGAAACTGTCTTTTCCAGCAATACAATAGCTTTGATAAACTGTTTCTGAGAAGAAAACTGTATCTAGTGTGACTTTTATGAAAAATGATAAAGATGAAATTAACAAAATAAAATCAACAGCAGTGTTAGGACTGTAGAAAATTAGCGTGGCTAGACCGAGATTTGAACCCTGGACTTCAGATTGTTATACTATCGCTCTAACGGATTGAGCTTCGGGATTTACTGAAGTGTCCTGGCCGAACTGTATATCCAAATGTTAAGATTTGAGAGGAGGTTATTGTATATCAGAAACACAACAGTGTAGTGGGACAGGGATACTTGTCCTGAACACCTAAGTGGACTTGTCAGGAAATCTGGTCTGAAGCATTGTCGGGGTAAGGTCTGAAGCATTGTCGGGGTAAGGTCTGAAGCATTGTCGGGGTAAGGTAACTCATTACATTTATATATGAAGGGTGTAATGCCTCCCTGAACGATAGGACGTGGGGTCCGTCCCAACAAGGGAAATTAGTTGAAACTTAGAACAGCCCAGATCACCACTGTAATAACAATTTATACAATGGCTGAATGCAGTCATTTACAACAAGAAGTTGTCCTGGTTTCTGTCTAAACTCCAAGGGAAAAGCCAAATAGGTATTTTGGTTCATTACTTAATGGAAACAGTTAAGATCCCCACCCTATTACCAAATATGTTATAATATATGCTTTATTTATTTTACAACTATTATGAAAGAAGGTCTCCAACTTTATTAACTACCCTTGTTGGTCCGAATTGAAGCACAAAGAGGCTAGTAATGTGGAAGGAGATGAACACCTAGAGATAACCTGGTCGGGTGGGTGACCCATTAATTAGTCATGTTCAATACCCGGAGTCTAACTCTTGCCATCTTTGTGAGAAGTAGTAGCTGAGTGTTCTAGTCACTGTGCCATCCAACCACCAAATATGTGCTTGCTCGGCAAGAAGAGACAAAGGCAATCAGGCTACCAACAGGATTAGCAAAATGGTTTGGCCCCATCCTGAAGAATAAGTTCTGTTGTCATAACATAAAAACAATTGAAACTGCATCTCTTTAACCAAATTAATATACACATGTTTACAGATTAAAACCATCTTTCCTATCAAGTGTCCTTGGCAATTTTTTACCTGGAAATCAATTTTTGTGTAAAGTAAAAGATCAATGTAGTTCCCCTCAGGGCTAGGCGCAAAACAGTATGATTGAGGTGTTTTAAGTACTTGAAAGCCTATTCTTTCTGGACAGTTTATTATGTTTCAACCTAATTTTAAAATAATAATAATACAAATGTACATACTTTATTTATTTAACAACAATTATGAAACAAGTTTTTACAACTAATATAAATCACTCTTGTTGGCCCAGATGTTAGTGTGCAGGGTGTTTATAGGGAGGAAACCAAAGTACCTGGAGAAAAACCCATGTAGTCGGGCAGGTGACCAAATACCTATTAATAATAATAATAATTTGAGGTTCTTATATACCGCTTTATCACAACCTAGTTCATAGGGCGTCTCAAAGCAGTTCACAAGCTATTATCCGTGGTTATAGGGCCTTTGCAACCAGCCAATATATTTCTCAACTCCTTGGGGAGCATACAGCCGGAACTGCCATTTCGGCGCTAACAGCTAGCATTCAACAATTTTAGCGCTGCCCAATCACGTACTAATTTACAGCTGAGTAGACTGGAACAAGCGGAGTAAAGTATCTTGCTCAAAGATACAACACAGTACCGTGCCGTGACTCGAACCCGCAACCCTTCGGTCACGAGCCAGGCGTCCTACTACTACCGTGCCTCCTATTCATGTCTGGTTTGGGAATTGAACCATGGCAACCTTTTAAATTTTAGATAAGGCATCTGTTAGACAAGGGCAGTAAATGTATGAAGGAAGGGTGTTGCTACAATTTGTAAATACTAGCAGTGTTATATGTGATTCAGAATATTTTGCCATGAATGTTTAAATATCAAGATAAGTGACACAGGCCCTCTGTTCCTCTTGCTCAGTTTGTCACATGGATTCTCTCTCAGGGGAAAAAATTAAAAGGTACATGTATGTGATCTACTTTGGTAAAATAAGCTTGATTTCCACGAAACCATGTGATCTTCTATATGGTATAATAATTTCCACGAAAACCATGTGACCTACTTTGGTAAAATAAGCTTGATTTCCATGAAACCATGTGACCTACTTTGGTAATATAAGCTTGATTTGCATGAATCCATGTGACCTTCTTTGGTAATATAAGCTTGATTCGCATGAAACCATGTGACCTACTTCGGTAATATAAGCTTGATTTCCAGGAAACCATGTGATCTTCTATATGGTATAATAATTTCCACGAAAACCCTGTGACCTACTTTGGTAAAATAAGTTTGATTTGCATGAAATCATGTAACCTACTTTATTAATATAAGCTTGATTTGCATGAAGCCATGTGACCTACTTTGGTAAAATAAGCTTGCTTTGCATGAAATCATGTGACCTACTTTATCAATATAAGCTTGATTTGCATGAAGCCATGTGACCTACTTTGGTAAAATAAGCTTGAGTTGCATGAAACCATGTGACCTACTTTGGTAATATAAGCTTGATTTCCACGAAACCATGTGATCTTCTATATGGTATAATAATTTCCACGAAAACCATGTGACCTACTTTGGTAAAATAAGCTTGATTTGCATGAAATCATGTGACCTACTTTATTAATATAAGCTTGATTTGCATGAAACCATGTGACCTACTTTGGTAATATAAGCTTGATTTCCATGAAACCACTGCTTTGTGTTCTGTCTAGATCACTAAAACTGTTAGCCTTGTAAACATGTGTTTTAAAGCCAACTATTCTATGTGACTAAGACTACAGACCAGCAAAATATCACATTTCGATTACTTTAAGCCACACAGTAAATTTAATTTTCCATTTTTAATGTGGCAAAGGTTGCAAACTAGCAAAATGTAAATACCAATTTTCACCAATATTCACAAGTCATTTTTCATCATGAAACAAAATTACACAACACTGGAACTTAAAGACAGTCTGTCTTCAGCTTTAACCTTTCGTCCAAATAGGATGGTATAATCTTGAATGCCACCAATTATGAGCTTGTATCAGGATGTGTTTCCTTTAGTCCTGTACAATGTTATAGACGACTGTTTACCAGCAGACAGGTCGTAGCATCACCTGAGGTCGTTAATAACAATTACTGGTAGTAACACTGGAGGCCTGCACCAGGCACTATCTATAATTAATGCTTATCTATCTATCTAACATCCTCAGGAAACCAGCTTTTAATTAATTTGCAAGATTTCTGTTCGTTCCATATTGTGCTCCATCTGCCTTTTTTTTCTAAAC